CGTTATAAGCACGAAACCCTAGCCACTGAGTAAAACCCTAGCCGCCTGAACACGAAACCCTAACCGTTTGAGCTAAAAGAATTTTTTAGCAAAATCCCTAATTGATGCCAACTCCGTTCTCCATCGATGGGTCTCCGATCTCTCTCCGCTATGATTATCGATTGAGATAAGTGCTTATGCTTTCATCACCACATGTTTTTGTCATAACGTTCATTATCACTCGTTTAATTCACTATATGAAACATGACTTAACAAATTTAGTTTATCGATCATATATTGCTTTATCATGATCAGATTCTATTATACTATATTTTAATTTGTCCCTAGTTAATCGTGAATCCATGATATTTTAAAACCTAGATTCTATCACAATAATTAATCATGAAATCGTGAACATGTTTTTAATTATTTGGTATTCATTGGTTATTAAGTTTGATTTAATATATTGTTGGTTTTTTTAATTGAAGTGACAATTGAAGTAAAGATCCGGGTGAAATCTTAGTCTAAATTACATCTCCGTTTCAATTTTTCGGAGATCTGTCTCTGTCACCAATCTAGATCTACCTCTCTCGTCGAATCATTACCGTCTCGTTTTCCAAACGCCATCTCCTGAAACCATCGTTAAAGAGATAAGTAACCTCGTATTCTATAATTATCAACACATGCATGACTTATTACTGTGTTGCCGTAATTGCACTAGCTCATCGTATTACTCCGTAATCTTATTGGTTGTGATGATGATCATANTTATGTGTGTTATTATTACTTTGATCGTCACATATATATTCTTGATTACTGATTAGTTTAGATTAATTGAATTATAGAAAAGTTAAACTTGAAGAAATCGCTTGTTTGTAGATTTTCTTAATTAATTATATACATCGATCTAGTATATAGCTCACGCTTAATTTCTTAACAAATCGTTGATACAATTGGTTTGACATAATTCATTAGTCTTGTCAATTGTCAGTTAGAATCTCATGTNTTAATGCTTTATTAGTTTGATCGAC